TTTATTTATTTTGAAACTTGACAGAAAATTAGTTAAAATTACAAAGGAGATTTCAAAGTATAAACAAAGAAAACTTGTTTAGCTTTTTCAATGTCCAAAAATGATTTTGTATATTCAAGGTACAATCTCGTCAGTGGTTTATAGTAAATTGAACTTTTACAAGCAAATCAAGGTTATTAGGGTTATGCAAATATTATTTACTACTATTCGTAGCCAACAAAGGCTTCCAAGTAATTAACAATCATTCATGAAAATGACTTCTCTTCTTATTAAATTATCTAATGGATAATCAAAATGTCAATAAACACGCACCGACAGTTATTAAATTTAATTTTCAATTGTCTACGTTTAATGGAAACTCATTTGTAAGAACAACACGTGCATATCTTTCTTAACAGAGAACGCAACCAAACTCATTTTCCTTGAGGCCATCATATGCCCCCTTTCCCCTCCGACCACACTTAAAGTTTCGGCAATTTATGCTTTGATTTAATTAAATCGCAAATTTAAATTCACATGGTACATTTGGCGAACGTTGATTATATTTTTGGGGGCTCTCTATAAGTCATAAAGGGTTGTAGTTGTAGTGTATATGCAAATTGTATGGCCAACATGTGTGACGAAAGTTCTGTGTGTAGGCATTTTGCATTTGAATTAGGCCCATAAACCAGTAAACTAATTTCATTTACTTTTGCCCACAATTTGCTTTATAATTGTCATTTTCTGTTATTGTCAGAAAACTTTGTGGTGATATTTGTCAAAATTTGTTTCGACTATTTTGCGGAATGCAAATACATACAATAGGTTTGTGTGTTAAATAATTTAAAGGATTTTTCAGGGAAACTCTCCAGTGACATGGCCTCAAAATTTGGTCAGTGAAAATAAGCCTAATCAAGTTTAGATTTGCGGTTAAAATTTATTGAATTTATTTATTGCCCTCGAGAGTAGTGTAAGTTTAACTTTAATATATTTACAAGAAGCCATTTTCATTGAAATGTCATGCCTGCGATTAAGGTAGAAATACAATTTGCTCTCAATTGAAATGTAAATTTGTTAAATCAAAAACCAATTACGAGAAGATTTTCCATATCGAAAGACCGCAAAAACAAAAAATTGAATTGAACAAAGAAAAGAATTATATGCGTCTTTGCTTAATACTGCCATGTAATTTTCACAAGCAGCACCTACTCGAATTTTCGTTTTTCATTTATTTTTCGGTGCTCGATGGCGAATGCATTTAATAAAATATTTTTCATCCTGTTCAAGGCCTTGTAGTCCTCATGTCATTCAGAGCTTTTTCCCTGGGTAGTGGAAAGCCCTTTTTCCGCCGCCTTTTGTTGTGCGAAAATTTATTGATATAAGTGCGTTGTGGGTGTGTGTGCGTGTGCAATTCATTTTGGTAGTGAAAATGTTAAGCGCTGTTGAATGCAATCGAAATGAGGAGTCAGAGGGTCCAGAATCCCCATTTAAAAGCGCATTTTCTACTCGTTTGCATTGCGAATGTGTCCCTGCATGTGTAAGACCGAAGTTAACATTATTTTTTCCCCTGTAATGCTTAAATAACAAGGCCATCGAACGACTTTAAGCCGCTTTTCAAGTTGCCTGTGCGTGCGCGCATACCAAAAATATAAAAAAATACGTATATAAAAAAAATAGTTGAATCGCATCGAGTAGGAATTTGCATATTTGCAAAGGAGCATTGAACTCGTGTCAGAGTCGTTGGATCGGTGGGTGGTGGTTGGTTTTTGCTTTTTAGTTTCTGTAGTTTCAGTAGTTTCTCCGGGTTGAGTCCGCCATGTAATCGTCATCGCTGTCGTTTTGGGTGGAGCGAACACGTCTCAAATGACGCCTCCCTCAGCTTTGTTTGCCCAACTGATGGACAAGTGTCATGAACATCGAGAATGAGGGATTGGCCATCGTGCCTCCGTCCTACACATGAATTACATTTCCAACATTTTCTTTTTAGGTGCGTCGTCGTGGCTCTAAATTTGATTAATTCAAGAGGCATTCGTCTGGGTTGTTTGGACTTGTAACTGGAGACTTTAGAAATTGCAAAAGAACGTTGTGAGACCAATTTTCTGTGGAGTGCTTGGTTTTCGTTTAAAATTTAAGTGCATTGGGATCTCTTTTAAACGTTTCTAATGAATAAATTATTTGAAAATAATTCATTGAAATGTAAAAAGTGGCCTCTTTTTATAACCAAAAATGATGTATTAATTCATTAACCTTTTTTACTGAATTATTTATTATTTAAAACTATTAAATTATGATTTCAAATTAAAAGATATTTATCCCACGTATAAATAATTTGTGTGCATGATTTATTTTAATTTGATAGAAAATGTAATTAATAAAATTAATTTTACCTAAAAATCACAAAACAATAAGGCTGGAATTGCGGAACTTTGAAAATGCTTTAAACGACAAAGGCGGCAAATTTGTGAGCTTTGGGGGGGCGAAATTTTGGTGAAAAATTCTCCTGGCTAATGAAAACCTCAAGCTGTGCGCTCGGACCGTAGAAAATCAGACACTGGCGCAACGGGAGATGAATTGATTTTAAATCAATATTGACAGATGACACTGGCAACAGCAAAAGCAGCAGCAGCAGCAGCATTTGAGGCGGAAAATGGTTAGTAAAACTCGACAGTTAAGCGGAGTTGGGGGTTAGACTGGGAGGGAAATACCCGAGAGGAGGGTGTGCAGAAGTATGTGAAATGCTGCAACATGTTATATCGCTGCAGTTCAAGTGGAAGCATCGTCAGGAAAAAATTCAGCTGCTGGCTCAGCTGGAGACCGGCGATTAGAGAGAGGCGGCGTCCTGGAGATAAACTGTCAACACGACTATTTTGTAGAGCCATCTATATGTGCACATATATCCGAGATGGGGGAATTTAAAGTAATTATGTGACAGATATACGCTCTAATGGCGATTTATATATATATCTGAGGCGACACCGATAGTGCGCCAGAAGGTAATTGCTTGTGTGTGGATTAATATCTGGGAATATTTAGAGATTATTTGAAGTGGGATAATCTAGATAAATTATAACGAATTTTAGTTGATATGAACATAATAGTTTTTACTCTTATTCCTATAAATAGTTAAGGGTATAAAATGATATAAATGAAATATGTATAAAAAAACACATTATAATATAATTGTTGTCTTGATAAAACTAGATTTTATCAAATCGTTTTCAATAGCAATTGATTAAGCCTTTGAGTGTTTATCTATGCTATTGAAATTGCAAATTACAACTTCCACAATAATTTCATTAGGGCATTCATTTCAGATACCCAGCAGTAGTCCTACCACCCATTTCCTTGACTTCAAAACCGTTCCAAATTTCCTTGTGTCGCACGCCCCGGGGTATTACTAACCGCAATTTCCACTCATTTTCCGAGCAGAACCGACAACAATCGGAGAGACCACAAGACCCGCATGACAACGTAACCCATAACCATAAACCCTGTTCCTGGCTACCTTCAAAAAGGACACACATATACACTAACAGAAGTCAAATGCAATGGGTCTTCCCAAAGGAACTGTCATCAACAATTGCAAGTTAATAAATGTCAAATGTGACAGTCTCTCGACTTTCTTAATTGAATGACTCCACCGCAATTATCTAGATCTAGCTGAAACTAACTCCCTATTATTATCCCTCCCCGTCAACAGTATTTTGTTTTTGATGGGACTTTAGATAGGGGCTGATTAGCAGCTGGTGAAGTTAACTCTATTATATGGGTTTTTTTGCTCAATTAAATAAAACTATGTCAAGGTTTACAGACGGCAAAAGAAGCAAGAAAATCCGTAGTAAGTGTGAAAATTGCATAATGTTGCGGGAAAACCAGAGAGTTTTCCCACTTAAACTTTACTGAAAACTGTTGCATAATTTCAATTGCCACCTGCCGAGTTTCAAGCCGAAAATAGTCGTCTGTGTTTCCCTCGAATGTTTTGCTTTTCTTTCGCCGTGAGAGAGTAACTCAGCAATTTGGAAAATTGTATCTGCCAGATAAGATGAAGATGAAGGCAAAAGTAGAGAGACTTTTGCTATTTGCACTTTTTCTTTCTCTCACTATCTGGTTTTTCATTTTGTGATGGTCTCTTTTGGGAAACGCCTCCTTCCTGGCCAGACTTTTGTAATGAAGCGTTGAAGTTGCTGTTGACTATGCTGTTGCTGGCGCTGTTGTTGCAAGTTGCTGCCGTAGCTGCTGCTAGTTGCTTCCGTGTGGCTTGACTTGACTGCAGATTGCCCCTTGGGTTTGCTGTCAGTACGGAATGCCATCGCATAATCACAATAGACTAACGCCCCGCTGGCAATCTCTTTAAGACTTGGCTAAAAAAAATCTGACTTTTGTCATCGCCAAATAGTTTTCCCTTGCCCCGCATAAAACTCAAAACAATCAGGCTGAAAACTTTGTTTTTCTCACATTACACAAACAGTTTCGGAAAATATATTGAGTCAGCCGTTTGAAGAGAGACTGTGTTTCATTTTCAGCCGTGAGTTCATATATTTCATGTTTCATGTTATTTCTTTCATACCTTTTATTAATCAATATATATTCTTTTTTCCATGCAGTTTTCCCATTCATGTTGCAAAGTGTTGTAAAGTTGTTGCATCGTTGAATGCTTTCAATTTAATTAAGTTTTTTCAACAAGTGCAGTCCCGTTTTACAAATTATTTTATTTTTACTTTTTTCAAGAAGCACTCTGCCTGTGATGGTTAATGGCCTTGGGGTCTGTTTAATGGGAATTAAGTTACTTGAAACTTTATTAAATTTGTATAAATTAAACTGTTATGTAATCTATAAAACTTTTTTTAATTATAATAGTAATAAAAATTGGTTAGATTTATATTTAAAGGTATAAGTTGATTTTCATTCCAGTTTCAAGTTAGTTGATATTAGAACATATCATGCAATAATGATGTTTTTGCAGATTTTAGTCATTAATCAGATTAGTTAAGGTTGGATCTCCCTATAACCTTTAGTGATGTAAAAGCATTAAAATGTGATTATCACCGGTTATTAAAAGCGCTTTAGGTATAGATTATTTCATTTCACGGCATTGGGGTCTAATGCCCTATATAAGGCAATTTTTTGGTTTCGTTTTCGCTTTCCTAAGAGCAACCACCATCAAGATGTGGATCTTGAAGAAAGAACAGCTTTGCGCCCTTTTCCTTTTCGCTATATTGCTGCCAACCGAATCATTTTTACTGAAAAAAATACATCATGTGAAAAATAAGCTGAAGGACTTTTTTAAACCTGATCCTGAAATGCATATTATACCACTACCTGCAGTCATTCACGAAGCCAAACAGGAGGTATTTAAGCAACCTGTACTGAAAGAAATTCAACAGCCGCAGGTGGTTGTAGAATCTCATCCCATCTATATACCCATTCCTGTACAAGGCTCCTCGCAAGGCTCTAGGATTCAAAATCCATTCCTTGTTCCACCAAATTCACAGGGAAGCTCGGATCAAAACAGGGAGCAGAAGGTACAGTTTCAAAATAATAATTATAATATTAAAATGTATTTACAAAAATTGTATGAAATCCAACAAAAATTCTCTACTAATTTACATCCAAATTTTTTGTTCTATCTCAGGATATTTCGACTCAGCTTTTGACAGAAGAGACTAGAGTAGGCTATGGGGATCGAAATCCATTCCTTGTTCCACCAAATTCACAGGGAAGCGCAGATCAAAACAGGGAGCAGAAGGTACAGTCTCAAACTAATAATTATAATATTAAAATGGATTTAAAAAAATTGAATGAAATTCAACAAAAGTTCTCTACTTATTTACATCCAAATTTTATATTCTACCTTAGGATATTTCGACTCAGCATTTAACGGAAGACGGTTTCGGGATTCTGCCCGTGTCGCAATCCAACTCACAAACGCAGTTCCAGAATCAAGCTTCGTTAACATCCCAGTCAGAATCAAATTCTGAATCTTCCTCAAAATACAACACACAATCAGAGTCTTCTAAGGCACAAATACTGGCGCAGCGAGAAAAAGAAGTAGAGTTTCAATTAAATATCCTACGACAGCTGCAACTTAAACAATTAGAAGAGCTAAAAAAGTCACATGAACAGGCAGAAATAAACCAAAAGCAAAGACCTCAACCTACACGAGAAACAGTACTTGGACCATCGCCCCCAGTAGGGAACTTAAGGGACCCTAGCTTGATACAGTCAGTTCCCGGAGATCTCATCGTTACAGAGATTCAAGTACCTACAATCGGAAATTCGCAAGTTGTTGTTACTGAGGATAGTTTAAGCAAACGCATAATAGCAAGACTGCTACGTCAGCAACGGAAGATAGAGAAGCAGCAGCGAAGATTAAAAAAATTGTTGGAGAGAAACGCACAGCAAGAACGCAACGAGCAGGTACGCTTGTCTTACCGAAAACAGATGCAAGCTCAGAAAAAGGTCCAAAGACAGCTAAAAGAACTGCTGGACGAAGTGTTGCGGGAGGAAGAGCAGAATCAGAAGAATCTAATTTTAAAGCATCAACTTGAGAAGCAAATTGAATTATCAATTGAAAGGCAGAAAAACCAAGACTTGGAAGAGCTAGTGAAAAGACAGAAACAGTTGAATGAACACTTAATAAATAATCCCCTAGTTTTGGGATTAGACCCAAGGCTGGTAATAAAAAATGATAGCTCAAATCAGAGTGAAAGTAAATCGAATTCGGAACAGAGTAGCCAGAGTTCGTCATCCCAGTCACAGTCGTCCGGATCCCGAAATCATCAGTCGGATGGTCATTCTTTTGCAAATTCTCAATCTGAGTCGTCTCAGTCTTCGTCTCAATCGTCTTCTCAATCGTCGTCCTCCAACTCGTCATCATCACATATATTAAGAGCACTCGGTGTTTAAACATTATGCACGGCATAAATCTCCCATTACAATGACTGAATTTAATTTTGAATTTAATTTTTCCCAGATCTGTAGTCCAAGAAATGTTTTTTTCCCCAAAGTATTAAAATAAATACCTACCCATTTGACTGTGCAACAAACATATAAATTTACTAAAATGCAAAGTTAAATTTCAAGGTTGCCTGTCATAATTTGATTAACTTGAAGCCAAATCTTAACTCTCTCCACTGGCGGATAACCCTTAAGGATTAACTTTCTATTTCATCCCCATACAACCCTCAACGAATGGCAGCTGGCGAGCCTTGTTAACTCGCAAATGCCCCTCAAATGTTGATTTAGCCATGGTCTTCTTACTCAAGCGTTGATAATGCTGCGAATAAGCATATATAGCTAATTTAACAAGCAAAGAGTAAAAGGGAGATAAAATGTATCATCCTGTCCGAAGTGCAGGCAAAATTAACATATGTCTAAGCTGGGACACGCGATACCGGATGGCTGCAAAACTGGTTTCCCACATTCGCTCCGCTTCACTTTTGTGTAATGTTTGTGCAAAGTATTTAGTGCAGTAATTGAGATGGAAATAAAAAATAACAAAAGGAAAACGCAAGACAGCTAGGGCCTTAATTTTACGCCAGAGTGGGCAGAAATAAATTTCCCTACCCGAACTTTTCTGTTCGAATTGTTCTCGGTCCGGGGCCAATTAAAATTGGGTGCAGAAAGTAATGCGTATTTGATATTGTCTCCCTTTAAGCAGTTGTTTTGTATTTTGGGGATTGCGAGTCAATTAAAATTGGTTGACAGTTGTCCCCAGTCGGGGAAATCTCCAGAGCTTTGTGAAAAAGGGTTCTCTAAATTAAACTTTTCTCTCTTGCTTTCCTTTTTTTTTTTAGTTTTTTTTTCGCTTCTTTTAGTATTTTGTTATTTGGCAAATAAATAAAATGTTGCAAAAGTTTAGCTATTTGAGTTGTGTTGTCATGGGAGATGCAGGGCAAATGGTAAGGGGGCGGGAACTGACCGTGGCAAAAGTTTTTCCAGCATTAAGCCGGGCATAATTAAAATTTTCGTACTGTAAGCCCCCGGAGCAGATTATAGCCAAGTTTTTCCCCGGCCAGAACTTCCTATTGGCTTTGTTTACCGCGTTGATTGATGGTAAATAAGCCGGGTCTGCCTCAGCCTCAATCCTTTTTTTCGGGGGTAAAATAATTTTGAAATTCAATTGAAGGAGCGGACTTAAAGATTACATTGTTGCTGAGTAGAATGGAATCGAACTGGCAACTAATCGAATTTACGAGTTCCCCTATCCTTCGACTTTTATTAGCCCATTGAGCTTTTCTTTTTCTCGCTTCTCCTTTTGTTTCGCCTTTTTAGCTTCGTTTTTACGGCAAATTTCATTTCAATAAAAGTCGCATTAATTTCATTTATTTGCTGTAATTTTTTTTCCATAGCCGTTACCATTTTTATACCCTCTGGTACGAGCTGCCCTTTTTGCGCACCTGTCTCACCTGATCCAGCTGTCTATCAAATGGCCAGCCCCGCCCATTCTGTCCCTCTTCATCACATTGCCGCCTCGTCCATTTCAATTAACTTCAAGGATTATTTTATTATGTCAATCAATTTCCGTAACTAAAAAGTCACCAATAAAAGAGTGACCGGTAGTCCGATTCCCTTGGTCAGAGTTCATTCTTGTTTAGTGTTTAATTCCCACTACTCCGCTTCTTTATTATTTTTTTTTCAGTGGGCTTTGCTTTTTGCCTGCTTTTTACTAGTCACCTTTTAATTATGGGATCCTGCAGTTGAAGTGGGATTTAATTAAAACTTGAATTTAATCGATGCAGCTTTATCGGATGATGTTTAACGGCGGGATAAGAGCAGAGAGAGGAAGTCCTTGTTAGTCCTGCTCTAAGTATTTCGATTATTCGTTTCATTAGGGGGGCTTTTATGCAGTTGGAAATCGATGAAGCCATTCAGTAAACTAAAGGTCAGTACAATGCATTTAAGGGTTTATTCAATATTCATAAAACAAGAAAGCATCTGATGGAAATTAAAAGAAATGGTTGTAAGGAAAATAATTTAACATAAGAAAACATGTACGCTAGATTTCCCTAAGCTCTTAGTTCATACAAATGTTGCAATTCTGAATTTATTAATATTTAACCCCGATCTCTGTTTGTCTTTTAAAAGCACTCTACAGCTATTTTTAATTCTTGTAAGCCAGAGAAAGTAATTGCCAGTTTATCCTTCCTCTTTCAACTTTTCACGCAATGGAAAATCAAAACATTTTTCAGCCTAGAAAACAAATTCAAATCTTTAGTCATGAATCATTGAACACACTAAAAGAGAAGAGGGAGGCCCCACTCAACCAATTATAAATTTGTAGGCGGGTATGGAGGCGTATTTTCCTGTCAATTTGATGTATATACATATATATGTAACTTGATCTATAGCTAAGGGCATAGCATATGTGCCACATACAGCAACAAAGAATTGTTACGACCAACAATAAAATGACTCAAAAGCCAATTAAAGATAACAAGAGGGAACAAAAACTTTGCCCACAAAAAATGCATTAGCATAACCAAACAATCGGGGGCGAAAAGAGAAAAGAAAGAGAAAAGCTCGGAAAGTCGGAGAGGGAGTATCTAGGGATTTAGTCTAAGACCTGTGACTAACCGCATAACGGGAAATAAATGTTGCATAAAGAACAAACAATTGCTGACTGCAATCAATCAACGGAGTTAAACGTTTCCGAGAACAGCCCAACTTGTTTCTTGAGTGACGAATAAACTGCACAAAACTCAGACTTCAAAACCCATACCGCACTCCTTAGTCCTTGGAGCCCGGAATCAGCCAGGAAGGAAGTACTATGAGCTTGCAGGAGTTAAAACCTACAAGGCCTACATGGCTACCATTGCTCGTAAGACACGAAACGGGTTGAGAGAACACTGAGCTTCTTTAATGGATAATAAAACTAAAAGTATTAAAGTAAAAAATTTAAAAACAAATTTAAAAAAGTATTAAATATTTGTCTATTTAAGAATCTAATTTTAGGGTCTTACCAACATTGCCTAAAACCCATAATTGAGTAGTACCTCTAATATTTATCCCAGTGTAAGAAGTGAGGGCGTGCACATAAGAAGGCAGGAAAAGCATTCGAAATGAAGAGCATGTATGTGGCCATTGTGAGGAATGGAATGGAATGAATTGGAGAGGGCTGAACCGTATCAAGAAGGGCTAGAGCAGAGGGATAACCAGAGGTGATGGTGGATCAGGGGCAGTGTTATGGGGTGCAAATAGGGGGGGAGTTGGCTAAAAGAGTGGGGCCTAAGCCGACAAGTCTGACTGCAGGCATTCGAAAGTTGTCGGAATGCAAAGGAGGCAGCTTTGGCATTGAAAGAGCATTTGAATGCGGTCGGCAAAAAAAAAGCTCGTATGGGAGTGGAATTGGAACTGGGAATAAGAAGCAAACAAAGCCGGGCGATGAAGGGGAAAAAAGAAATGCCAAGTGCATGAAAATGAAAGATGAATGGAAACGGGGGCGAGCTATAGATATATTTCTAGCTTTAATCGAGCGTGTTGCTAGATGTGGGTGCCCAAAGGATGCAACGATTTCTTTTGAGGAATTATTGACTCTCGGCCAACACTATTAGGCAGCAAGAGTGTTGTAAAAATCATTCGTCATAGATAGAAAGAAATAAAAAAAATCCCTACTGCAGCTTAACAAGAAATTCATGTCTGTCTGGCCAGAGATAGAAAGATGACCGGATAAGACTGAGAATGTTTGAATGACAAAGGCAATAGGTAGGTTGCCTAAGAGAAAAAAAAAACTATTGTACAGGGCACACTATTGTTAGAAATCTCTCTGGAAATCTTTCGACATATGTATGCTTTGCCTCCAACCGGAGTTCTTCGTTTGAATTTATGCGGTTTGAGTTATTCAAAGCTGGCCACTTGAAAATCAAAGAAAAAACTGTGGAGCGTAGAAAAACAGAACCAAAGATTTTAGATTTCAAGTAGCTGATTGCCAGCAAAGGGAGGAAAGCAAATAAAGGGTTTCTTAAAGATCTCTTGTATTTAGAGGATGGAACCCTACGCGAGGCCCCATAAACAGATCGTTAAACGTTCGGGCAAATTGCTGGCACACGCAAACTGGCACGCCCAAACCGGTTGAGAGATGGGAGATACATCAAGATGACAAACATGGCGGGGAGAAGCTAATGCTGCAACTTGCAACAGCGACAACGAATGTCTCACAAAACAATGCGAAGACCCTTGCCCGTCCCTTTCTCGACCACGCCCCCTAATGGCCTGGCCATAAAAAGCTCATCAACGTCATCTTCTCCATTGTCCCCATCCCAGCAAAACCCACAAATGTTGCACATTGTGCAACAGCAGCAGCAACAACAGCATCAGAAATTTGATAAAAATTACACAGCAAAAGGTAAAGAAAGAAAAAGTAAAATACAAGCGAAACACAAAACAATTTTGAAGAGCCAACGATTATTTAAAGTGAAGCCAAGCAACAAATGATAATGGTAACCAGCAAGCGACGTCCAACGAATAGCCGTAAGATATGCTAGGCAAAAGTCATGAAGCCAAAGGAAAATTTAATAATAGTAGTAGGTACAGGTACACAAATGCCACTTTGTAAACTTGTATTTATTTTCTATAGAAAAGCCTTGAACAATCGCTTGGTATAGCTGGGATGTCGAAGTTGCATGTTGGTGGTGGCAAAGCTTCCTGCAACAGCAGCTATTACAAAAGACACACGGAACGTGGTTACTCTATTGCATTGATGGTGTTTTCGTTAGGACTATATGTTTATGGATGGAGTAATACATTGTAGATGAGCAGTTTATATTTTATATAAATTTTTAAAGAATTTTATAAATGTATATTAAGAGCAGCTTAATTTTGCGTAACCACTCTTTTCAGATCCCAATATTTTTCTTACATAATCTTTTTCCTGGAAACTTTCTATATTAATAATGTTTTCTTGATTTATGTTTTCTAGTTAGATATATTAAATTTTCATTATACGCTAATCTTTAACTACATCAGATATGCATACAAAAATCACTACAACTGCACCTAAAACAATTTAAGAGTATATTTTTTTCTAATTCCGCGATATCATAACAAAATTCCATTAACTTTACACTTACTTTTTATAACAACACATCGAAATGTTTCCCGTTTTCTATGACATTTTAAGAGTGCTCCAAGCTTTTCCCTATTTCTGTTAACTATCACTTGTAGTGTTATCGTTTTTATCGCTGGCTATTTCAACGCTATGCAATTAACACGATTTTTTCAGGCTATCAACATACAATTTTCGGGGGGCAAAGAGCTTTAGTTGGCCGTTTAAGAGAAAGGCGCCTCTCTCAACATGTGTTCCATAAATCAAATAAAATCCAGAACTGGGATTGGGAATTGCATGTTGTGAAGCCACAAAACAAAAGGGAAAATATTTAACTAATTAGAGTAATAAATCTGGACGAAATATGGCCTACCCAAAATAGCAAAGTCGGTTGGAAATGAGCATTAATAACTCAATTGGAGGGTTGTTCCACTGTTATGAATAGGCCAAATCAAAGCTCCGAAC